ACCTTTTTTGGTATGGTTTTGTGAGGTGAAGGTTGAACGCTTCTGTGGGCCGATGACATGTTATGTATGTTAGCATCTTCTGTCTGCGAACATTCTTGGTTAAGAAATTTTATTATTTCACCAATTTCTGGTAATGAATGAGTAACTGGATCTTCGGTTTGACTGGAACGGAACGATTCAAGTTTTTTACGTAGTTCCTGGTCCATTTTACGCAAAAGGAGTGCGGACAATAGGGGGTTGTTGTCACTAACGTCACAATTTAATGCCTTAAGAGCTTGTGTGTGTTCCGTAAACAGGTTTACAAATTGGCGCAAACCTTTGAGTGAAGTTGCCGTAATGTTTGGCAGGTCCAACAATTGGTTAAGATGCAATGATTGCAATCTTCGATTGTTGTGATATCTGTCACGTAACAATTCATAGGCGACTAGATAATTAGGAGCGGTGAGATTTAAACTCCTTATTAAATTGAGAGGCTCTCCATTTAAGACAGAGAGTAAGTACTGGAATTTCATAACAGAGGATAATGAAGCATTACGGTGGATTGCAGTGTCAAAAAGATTGATAAAACTTGTCCACGTTAATGGATCGCCAGAGAATTTTTGTAAGTCCAGTTTAGGTAATCGTACTTGTGAGCTTGGATGAGTTTCTGAAACAGAAAACGATTCACTGAACGCGGAAGGGGTTTTTGGTGGTTCTGAGGGAACCAGGGTTTCAATCGTAGCTTGAATGTGAGAGAACATGTCTTCAATAGCATCTTGATCATTGGAAAGAGTCTTATCATCGATCCCTTCATCTTCCAGAACGAAGGCACGTTGAAGGTTATTTTCAAATTCACTGCGTTTCTTTTTTATTTCCAACGCGTAAGCGGATAATTTCTTAAGTTGTAATGGTGTTAGAGGGTCGATTTGAGTTGATAATTCATCTACTGTAGCCTTAAGTTTTTCAAAACGTGATTTAATCAGCGCCGTAGAACGGGTGTAGATTGCGGACTTAAAATCAGATGCTTTAGGAGGCATTGTGAAGTATTCACTTGAAAGTATTCACACGAAAATGGAAGTTGTGGGTACACAAAAGGCTTGTAGCTAGGCCTATGAATGGTATTAGCTTAACAATGTAGTAATTAATTGTCCGCTGAATAATATAGAGATAAAATATTATAAATATCTAAAACATATATCCACCTACTTTGTAGCTTAATTGAGGCAAATAGTGAAAAACACTAAGTTATCAACACGTTAAATAGCAATAAAATATTTTTAAATGAGTGTGGCAGGTTTAATTCGATTTTCAAACTATAAATCAACAATTGAGCTTAGTTGAAAGTATTCAAGTACGGTAATAATAATGCACAATAAAACAAGAGATATGATAGAACAAATGAATGAGTCACATGAAAGTTCACCGTTATTTACAAAAATAATAAATGGATCTAAATAAGTTTAATGAGAGTAGGCCTCATTAATGAAACAGTGTAGAATAATCCTTAGTAAACAAGAATTGCAACATAAAGAGTAAGTTATTACCCTAATAAATGAGAAAGGAACATAAAATTATAACCATCAATGAAATATGAATCACAATACAAATACGCTAGCTAACAGTTTTGTTTATATGTACAACACTAGTAATAAGAACCAGTAAAAACGGTTATTTTGAACTATTTATTAAAATGTTAATTGACAAGATAAAATTACCTTAAATATAATATCGCACGTTTGTCAACCAAAATTACAGAGATGAACTAATTTAACTTTACTTCATTTAAAATCAAAATTCAGAAAGCATAAACAATGTTAAATAACAATGACAAATTAGTGTTTATTTAGTATGATATTCAAAAGAGCAATATTGATTCAAAGAATAATAGTAAATACCTAATAATAACCTAATAGTTGGTTATTAATAATATCAATCAACCTTATTACACAATACACCTTAAATGAGAAAATGTAAACAACAACAAACGCCGTAGTGTCGGCCGTCTGCACGCGACTAAATCCCGCAACTAAAACTAAATCCCGTTTTCGGGATAAAAAAGCCAAGTAGGGAAAAATTGTCTACTACTAGAGAGAACAGCAAATTGTACATGATTGTGACCTGCGCAGACGCGCGAGTGGAGAGAGATTGCTACACCACGCCCACGAACGGAACGAACGCGAGCCGATATTTTACCAATATGGCGAAAATTGAAAATTGCAGATCGCTAAAAATATGGTTGATGATGAAAATTGGCTGAAATTAATTACCACAGGACTTTAGACAATGAATCCGGCTCGAAGGACCAAATGTTGGGGGCGTAATGGGTGAAAATGAAAATAATTAATAACTCGAAGGACCAGAACTAATTAATAGTTCAAGAGAAAAATAATTAAATTAGAGAAAATGGCGAATCTGCAATTTGAAGGGCACTGAGGTCCCGAGATGGAATAAAATGTCTTGTGAGGGGCAAATGAGATTAGTTTTAGAGTCTAATTAAAACACACACAAAACTTTAAGGTTGTACCTTGAGTCCAATTATCCAAAGGTGGAGAGTATGGCAGCGGCGTCGTCTATGGTGGAGCGATGGCGGATGGCGGAGTCCTTAGACCGAGTGCTTCTGTTTTGTAGAATTTTGGAGAACGCAACGCACCCAAGTTCATAATCACAAAGAGCTCACTAATACGCGGAAGTCGCGGTGAAAACGTACGGAAAGTCTAGAAGTAATACACGGACGCGCACACACTGTCTTGAGGTTTGAAGAGTCTGAAAGCACTAGATCACAATTTAAGTAATTTAATCACAAACAAAAGGGGGAAATTAAAATGTATATATAGTTAAATGTACTATAGAGGAGAGGGAGGCCAGATATAATTCATCTATAGCCTAAATATACGTTTAAGAGAGGTAAAATGGGCAATTAATGTCCCGAGATACGAGAAACGGAATACACCGTGAGTTATGGACGCCGACCGTGGACAGACAGACGCCGATCGCCGGTTTCACACTTTTAAAAATGCAATTGCGGTTTAGAGGGGTCTAGGAATTCGATGGCCAATAGGAAATGCGATTGAAGCAAACACGGCGTCAGGTGATTCATGGGTATGTAGTACAGGAAAATAGGCCTTACTGTGGCGGGAAATTCGAGCAGGCTTAGCAATCTCATTTGAATATTGAAAGCGGGAGTCTATTTACAATAAATTGTTACTGAGACTAAATAATATTACAATAAATGTGGTGATTTATATACACATTAGCATGATTAATTAACCAGTGACTTAATTAACATAATGATTAATTTCTAAATACTCTAAAAATATGAATACCGAACAAACATTATTTAACCATTTTCGTGACTTTGTTGCCATTTTACGCCAACATCCTACAATTTTATTTCAATTATAATATTTTATTATTAAAAGCAATCATATATACTTGTACAATCAGTAATAAAATTTGCCGCAATCATTCGGGGTCATTGTAAGAAAAAATCTTAAATGTATAACATTTCTTAACCATTTTCATTACTTTGGTGCCATTTTACGCCAACATCCTACACTTTTATTTCAATTATTATATTTTATTATTAAAAGCAACCATATATACTTGTACAATCAGTAATAAAATATGGTGCAATCAATCAAGGTCATGGTAAAAATAATTTGTGAATGTGTCACATTATTTGACCATTTTCGTGGTTTCGGTGCCATTTTACGCCAACATCCTACACTTTTATTTCAATTATTATATTTTATTTTTAAAAGCAACCATATATAATAGTACAATCAATAATAAAATTTGGTGCAATCATTCGGGGTAATGGTAAAAATAATTTGTGAATGTGTCACATTATTTTACCATTTTCGTGGTATCGGTGCCATTTTACGCCAACATCCTACACTTTTATTTCAATTATTATATTTTATTATTAAAAGCAACCATATAGACTTGTACAATCAGTAATAAAATTTGGTGCAATCATTCGGGGTCATGGTTAGAAAAAATCTTAAATGTATAACATTTAATTTAACTATTTTCGTGACTTTGTTGCCATTTTACGCCAACATCCTACACTTTTATTTCAATTATTATATTTTATTATTAAAAGCAATCATATATACTTGTACAATCAGTAATAAAATTTGGTGCAGTCATTCGGGGTCATTGTAAGAAAAAATCTTAAATGTATAACATTTCTTAACCATTTTCATTACTTTGGTGCCATTTTACGCCAACATCCTACACTTTTATTTCAATTATTATATTTTATTATTAAAAGCAACCATATATACTTGTACAATTAGTAATAAAATATGGTGCAATCAATCAAGGTCATGGTACGAAGAATTTGTGAGTTTGTCACATTATTTGACCGTTTTCGTGGTTTTCGACGGCATTTTCGCCAACATCCTGCACTTTAATTTCAATTATCATATTTTTTTATTAAAATTAATCATCTATACTAGTATAATCAGTAATAAAATTTGGTGCAATCAATCGGGGTCATGATAAGAAAAATAGTAATCTTGTCAAATTATTTTACCATTTTTCTGGTTTCAGCGCCCTTTTCGCTAAGGTCCTACTCTTTTTTTCAATTTTCATACCTTATTAAGAGCAATCATGTTTCTTTATATAATCAATAATAAAATTTGGTTCAGTTTAAATAGGTCCAAGGTAAATACATATTTTGTTATTGATCACATTATTGCGTAGTTTTTACCACCAGTCAAGATTACTTATATTTATGTTTTTATATTATTTTAATAATTACAAAGTAATTCTTATAATTAAATAGGTTATAACCCTTAAAGCTTAGAGTTTTAGAAAATATAAAGTACGGGAATCGGAGGTCTACTTGTGCAAAGCACTGACTACTTCGTAGGGGTAAACTCAAATGTCTGGTGGAGGGGGAAACTTTGGAGGGATGACAGCTGGTGATAGCTATCTTCACGGCCGTCAGTTGTTTGCCCAGTCCAGATAATATTAATTCATCCTGCACATAAATAAATTCGCCTTGTTTCTAGATTATTGTCGGTTGCTAATCCCAATAACAACTCAGCTTTAAAGTATGGGAAAGAGAAAGGATACCAGCACAGAGGAGGAAGCAATGTTAGGTAGGTCTATAGCAATATGTTTATTATGCTACCCTAGTCTAGCCTATACTGTATTGACTTAGACATTCATTTGATGTTCATTAACATTTGAAAAGTTTGTAATATTAAGTCAAGGTTATGAGGGAGTATACATATAAGTATAGTTAAATCTAACTTACAAACTTGTTCACCTCGTTGTAAACACCTTAGGCTAGTATAATCAAAATCTTAGGAATAACTGTTTGATCGCCCGAAGCCATGTAACCGATCGTTTGTAGGCTACCCCTAACCACAATGAAAATAACATTGTCTTAGATTCTAAAAACTGATTGTAGTTACAGTTCTGTATAAGTTAGAATCCACACCAAAGTCTAATAAAATGAAATCTTGAATTGATTTAAGTTAGGCCTAGTTCTGTGCCAATAACTGATTGATCCATTCCACAATAGCTGTAGTAAGAGAATTTGCTCTAGACAACTATTACAGTAACTAACACGTTTATGCGACACCGCGATCATTGCCACGAACCGAGGTATCCAATTTAATCTTTCATGTAGACCGGCTGTCACTTGGTTAACAGTAACACGCAGACCACGGGTGAAAACCTGTTATATTTAACAGTGATCATTTACTTTTTAATACGCTGCAATCGTGTTTGTCAATAATATATTCTTGTTTTTTTAAATATTTTTTATATCCTTTTGTATGTCGCATATTTGCGACGCCCGGTCTATAGTGAAGACAATAAGTTAGTGAAAATTATTAGGATTTTTCTTTAAATAGGTAGCTCATATATAAGTTATATGCACCATATATAAGTTATATGCACCATATATAAGTTATATGCACCATATATAAGTTATATGCACCATATATTTTGATATATTTTTATATTGCTTCAACAGATAACAATTTAAAGTGAATTAACACTGAAAACTACTTTTGGAAATACATAGGTCTCCACATTTGGTTTCTGAACGTTTCAAACAATTCAACAAACAATCCTACCAACTTGTTTATACTTTTTTACATTTTTTTGCGACCTTAGCTTGCCCTTCATCCCCAAGTCCAGTTTCCCAGCGTCATTTGCCTATTGGGTCTGGTTATGATTGGAGTGTCTAATCAAATTCTATCACCACCCTTATAATGTCTCTACTGTCTTGTGAGTTAACAGTACTATATTATAAGTGTATGCATGTTTCAAGAGTGTTATTAGACATAGCCTACCGTAGAACCTCTTTAATCCGAACCCCCGTATTCCGAAAGTCCACTAATCCGAACACATCATTGAACTGTACTCTATACACAGTACAGTATTTATTTATTGTATACGTACGCACCGTAATTGTTTCTATTGTAATTTACAGTACTGTTTATTTACTATGTTTATCTGTATTAAATAAACACTGTATTTTACTTTATAAAGCATTTTTTTCACTCTTCTTGTAAGAATTAAGACCCATTTTTTAGCCACATTTTAGCTATTGTTATGTAAAAACAACAATATGTTCTGTAATCCGAAATATTTAATAATCCGAACTACCCCCGGTCCCAAATAGTTTGGATTAAAGAGGTTCTACTATATTTTTATTTACTTTCTGTAAATTTAGTAACATTAACAAGTGTTGATGAAGAAGTTTCCTAACTTATTTATAAATTTATTGAGGCTACCTTCTATGAATCAACCTAAAGCAATATTTTGTGTATAGTTTAGTAAGCCTGTTATTAATAACAGATTTAACACGTTCGCTACTGCAATAGTACGAAATTTTCCATTCACATTGACCAGCGACGCATATATGCGACGGCTAGTCACATTAAAATAGACTGCCGACGCATATTTGCGTTGGGGTTCTAATGTTATTAAAATGCTTATATTTTTGTAGTAGTCTATTTGAAGGCTCTGAATTCCCTCCAGTGGTCTACAGAGATGTCTGACGCACAACTGCGTCGCTTGGTCTGTGGATATGATGATTGGTGACATCATAAAATAGTTGGAAAAACTGGTCTTTACTTTTCTGCATCACTGTATGTATGTATGCAGTATGTATGCTGCATTATTCTATGTAGCTTTTATATTTGTTCAGTTATAAACTGTTCTTGAATAATCTGTTTATTTCTTTAGCCTACTTACTTTCACCTTAAAACACAAAAAATGAACTGTCGCATATATGCGACGTTTAGTCTATTTCAAGAAAAATATGATAATTTTCACTATTGTCTTCGCTGTAGACTGGGCGTCGCAAATATGCGACATTACAAAAGGTTATTAAAATACAAATAAACAAGAATAATTTATTTACAAACACGATTGTAGCGTGTATTACAATGTAAATGATCACTGTTTTATAGGTTTTCACCCGTGGTCTGTGTGTACTGTTATCCAAGTGACAGTCGGTCTATGTGTAAGATTCAAATGTATACCTCGGTCTGTGGCAAAGACCGCGGCGTCGCATATATGCGACGCTCAGTAGCGAACGTGTTAATAGGCCTAAGTTATTGCATAATTGTGTGGTTTAAATGCACTCATGTACATGGTTTCAGAAGGTGACTTTATATCAATGGCTGTAAAGAAACACAAGAAACATAAACACAAAAAGCATAAGAAGAAAAAATCTGAGTTAGATTCTGAATCCAAGGTAGATCTTTTGAAGTTGGGCCTTATCAGTGCTAATGAAGACGATCCAGATACATTAAGGTGATAGTCAATGTTACATAGGCCTATAGTGTTATAAATTTCCTTAATTTACACAACCAACCATCTGTAGCAAAAAAGTTTTCAGTTACATGTATTATTCAGTTATTGCTAAAGAAATTATACGCACATTGAAACTTTGGTGCTGGTTGAACGCTGAACTGTCACATCTAGGATCCACCAGCTATGTCAGCTGCCACCCAAAACAGCCTTTTTGAGAACCAATTTAGAAGTACAGTAGACCTCTAACCATCTGAATCGCTTACAGAAAGAATTTTAAACCAGTAACGAGAATCGTTATTAAAGAAGGCAAAAAGGCTGTGATTGCAGCAAAATAAAAAATCACTCTGCGTTCACAGAAATATCGTCACCGTTTTTCGCATTTTAGGCTACATCTTCCGCGGTCTTGTAGACATCATCATCGTCTCCCGCAGTCGTGGAAACATGATCATAGAGGTAAGAAAGGACCATGAGGTCCTGAGTTCGCCTCAATAAAGAAGCATTTTAATTCATTTCATCATCGTTTTCCATGATAGCCAAAAAATGTTGAATATATCTCATGGCCGTGTAGACATACCGTACCATCATTGTCTCCTGCGGTTGAAGAAAAACTTAATCAACCTCTGCAATGGTGGCAAAATCTTGAATTTTGTTATTAAAAAATCTACGCAGACACATTTCGCGATCGCAATAGTAAAAGGACGTGGTTCAACTCGGCCTATTTTCTGAAAATTACCACAAATTCTGGACTTTCCAAATGTGGTGGTTTAGTCCCAAATGATAAGATTGCAGTTCTATTGTAGGCCTATAGGTTTGATGAAAATTATATTAGCCTGGAAATTAGTTGAAAATATTTTCTTCACAAGAAATACATTGGGTTTTTGATGGCCTGTGGGGCAAAGCTTGAGGACTTTTATTACAGGAATTTGTGAAAGGGGGCGTCTACAAAAACAATATACTTAACTTCAACACCTCGTTTGTAAAAATCCGTCCATTTTTAACGGAGGAGTGGTGTTTTGTAGAAATCGCCTTCACGTATTATATATAAGGATGGGGCTGTAGTGAAATGCAGTAGTATGAGTGTTAATAAAGATACCTGGGCCCAATATATCTTCCACTAACCACTACTAAATCTTACAATTTCCTGTCGTGGTTCAAACTCTATTGGGAAGAAGCTAACTACTTTGTCAAAGTGCACAATAATACCTTAGCTGCATATCACAGCCAGCTTTTATGTTGTTTAATATATCTATTAATATATATTAATAGGCAAGCATGTTTCTTTAAAACCTTTTTTCTCAGCTCGTGTGCATCGTAGGGAAAATCTACGCATACTGTTAGAAAGCTATTTTCCTGTAGGTGTGCAGAATCCCTTTATAAATTAAAATAGGCTCAAAAATAAGCACAAAAAATGAATTTAAAATTTTGAAAAATTTAACATGGATATTATGAGTTGCCATGATGGTGACGAAATAACAAGGAAATATAAACAGAAAATCAAAACAAATGGAAGAAACTCCAATCACATGTTCTATTCAAAGTGTGGAATGAAAATAAAGTCTGTACATTAAATATTTTTTGTCGAGTTTCGACCACTGGACGACCTCTAGTATCTAATTAATACATAGTGAACAGAGAAATAATTATGTAAATGGACTTATTCTGATTCGTAACACTAACTAGATGTACCTTAACGTGAATTCAAATATTAATTGCACAAATTTGGAACATTGATCACCAGACCACGACCATTTGGTAAACCTAATAAATTAGATAGTAAATTGCTAATTCATGGCCCTAGCCCTTCACCTACCCCTGCACCTTACCCCTGCTATATCATCTACTCATTCTAATAGGACTCATCCAAAATGTAGATGAACTCCGTCGTCTGTTTGTGCGGGTGGATCCTTGGCTGCGCGCGCACCTAGCCTAGTTGCGTCACGTGACCTTACGCGTTGGACTTGTCTCTTGTAGCGGACTGACTGTTTACCAAGAATATTAGCTGCTGAAGTGTTAGGAAATACTGTAATGTAGATTGGTGTTGAGCGTGGAAAGCATTAGGAATCAAATTGGGCATGAAAGTGGACCTGAATTTATATACGAATGGGGTGGCGAGGGGCGTGGTACGTTAAAGTCTAAGTTGGTTAACGTCGTACATGCAGCAAGAACAGCTGGAGAGCTGAGTGTCTAGGCAGAGCGCGTACTTCAGCTTATCACTCTCAATACCTCGTCGTCGACTTTGACCTTGGCAACAATAGCTTCTTAGAAACTGGTTTAGACAACCGAACCATTTCTTGGATAGTTAAATGTATAGACCTCGACTATAACCCTGGATTGTCGACAAAAAACACGCTTGTTCCTTGTGTAATTAAAACGAGAATGAAACAGTTTCACACTTTGTTGCTAGTTGCCCTGTGTTCAATGACTTGCGACTCTTGTATTTTGGGAAACCTTTGAATGGAAAGGATTGGCGGGGTTTTGGAAGCTTTTTTATTAAATTGCATGGAAAGGTAGATGGGAGTTAGTTAAGTAATTTAATTTTGAAAATTTTATATCTATAAACAATCTATGTGTACCTATTAACATTGTGTAAACCATTTTGTTATAGCCTATTTATATCTTTAATAAATGATAGAATAAAATATATATGTAGCCAATGTGTGATTATATTTTGTGTTTTGTTTTTAGTGCTCTGTAAATTCATTATATGGGACAAAAATATAAATTATATATTTGTCAGATATAAACATATATGTAGGATATATAGGACCTACCGTACCTAGATATAAAAAATTTACTGTATGCCAATCCAGCAGACGGTCGTTTGACCATTGTTGTATGTGTGCTATGGAGCAAAATTACTGTATTTTATGTCATATTCATAGTAAGTAATAATCAATATAGCACTTTTTCTAATACTCTGATTGTGATTTCAAATAAATATAGATCAAAAGTAGGCATATAACTATTAACCTAGATATATAAAGTTGAGTTTGTACATTTTTATTACACCTTTTTTTATCTAGTTGAGTACATTTTTAAATAGCCCATGTTTAAATTACTTCATTATCTATCTATACTACTTATTTGTTGTAAATACTGTTGTTCATAACATAACCTTAATTTTTAGCATATCAGCTACTGCATCAAAGCCCGCGTCAACATCTACCTCACCTTCCAAAAGTAGTTCCAAAAAAAAGAAGAAAGGTAAGGAGAGTGCAACATCAAGTGAAGAGGAAAGATGGTTAGATGCTATAGAATCTGGAAAATTAGAAGAGGTAAGTAACTTTAACAGAACATAAGCTTAGATTAGTACAATGTCCAATTATTTCTAGAAGTTAACTGCAAACAGAGCAACTTCATTGATTGACAATTTATGCACAATACTAAGTGAAAATGTCATGTTTTTTTCTTTGATTTTGACCTACATCTTGATGCTTGTCAATTTCCAAACTTAATTACAAATTTTTGGTGGTGCTATTCGAGGGAACGGCAGATTCTTATTGCTTGGCTTTTTTTATTGGAGCTACACTCAGGGCCATTGTCAGTTTTAAGTGTTTTAACAGTCCTTTATAAAATCACCTGGCCTACGGTATGCACGGTATGAAGATGATTATGATGTCCCCGTGATGGCGCGGGACTTGAAAGGGGACGTGAAGATTTCGCCACGATCGCGAAACACAATGATGATATTTTAACAAATTGCAATCGTGCTAGGTGTTCAGTGTATTGTCCGGATCTCAGGATAACGAGTCTTAGCATTCATGTGGATGTTCAAGATATTTCCGAAATCGTGGTAGACGATGATAGTGTCTTGACACTTATGGGGTTGTTCAGAATTTTGTCGCCATTGCCAAAGACGATTATAATGTCTTGGTGTTCACGGGAGATGCACTCAACTGGACTGGAGTGGATATACTGCAACACATTCTGAAATCTGAAGTAAGCAAAATATCCTTTATTGAGTCGAGTGTGACTGCTTTCTCAAATTAAAAGCTACTAAAGTGTAAGTGTACTTGCAGGGTTAAGTAAGTTACGAGGGGAAATACATAAATTTGTCAATTTTTGGCAGTTAAGTAATTATTTGGTAAGAGTGTAGGCCAGGCCTACCCAATAGTTAAAAATTGTTATGTCCGAGGGGGGGGATCCGCCACTGGTAATCACAAATTGTTAGTGCAAAGTATGACCTTTGACAGCTGGTTGACATTTCCAAATATGTATTCATGTCCACTTTATAAAGAATTTCAGTTTATTTCATGTTCTTTTGTTCCTAAAAAGTAGCCTACATCTCCTTCCAAAGGAAGTCACACCCTCATTCTAAGTCTTGGGATGTGTTATCATCAGGTAGATGACGAATTGAAAAAGATAAAGCCTAAGGATCCTAAGCTGATGACTGCAAGGCAAAGAGCAATGTTGGAGCGAAAAACCACAGATAAAGAGCCTGGCTCCAGTGGAGAACAGCTATTGGCACTGCCCACTGGTGAGTACTGTAACACTAGCAACTTAACTGGATGGTCGTAAGGAGGTGGCAAGATTTTAGTCAGTGACTTTGAGAAAAGAGGGACAGTTAAACTGCTGAGAAGCCCCCATGGATTAGGAAAGTCATATATAATATTTTTGTACAAGTCATCAAACAAATACAGTAGTGCCCCTCATATGGGTGAAAAGATTTGGGTAAATTCAAAAAATAATTCAATAGACAATTAATCTTTAGGCTATTTACACATTCATTAGGAATAGTAGTAGCGTCAATTTACAATTTTTTCTAAATATGTGGTTGAGGTGTTGTTTAGTCAAAGATCTGTTGATAGTATTCTTTTAAAGAGTAAAAAGGTTGATTAATGAATAATGAGCCATTGATGCAAAACTGGTTTGAGGTCATCTTCTGTCTTGCCTCTTAGATCTGGAGGTAGCCTGTTGAAGATTTTCATTCCTGCGTAAGAAGGTTTCTTTTCAAACTGTGCCGTGCGATGTTGTGGAAGGTTGTACTGCATGGTGTTTCTCAGGTTGTGTTGGTGCATTTCGCCACGCCTTGTAAGGTTATTTCTTACTGCAAATAACACAACTTCCTGTATGTAGACTGTAGAGTGCTACAATGGTAAGTACTTTGAGTGACCTGAATGTTTCCCTGCAGCTGTCGAGTCTATGGAGTCCTGCAGTTATTCTGACTGGCTTTTTTTGTTTTGTGAGAACTCTTTGCATGTTAGTGGCAGAGGCTCCACCCCATGCTACAAGTCCATACCTCATGTGCGACTCGAAAAGTGCAAAGTATGCTACTTTTGTTATGATATAATCTTTTGCATTTTTTATATGTTTAAGAGCATAGATGCTTGAACTTAATTTTTTACATAAATTGTCCACATGAGGGGTCCAGGTTAAATTCTTGTCGAATGTGATGCCCAAAAACTTAGCTTTATCTTCCACTTCTACATCTTGAAGTTGTGGCACTTCTTGAGATTTACGGCCAAAAGCTATTTGAGTTGTTTTAGACATGTTTACTGCGAGATCATTGTTGTAGCAGTATTGGTAGGCCATACTGAGTGACACGTAGGATTTTACTTCTAGATTTTCAGCTAGTGGTTCATTAAACACTAAGGTTGTGTCATCAGCATACAGTAGACTCCCTCTTATCCGGACTCCTCGGGACCGAGGCCAGTACGGATAACGGTTTTCCGGTTAAACCGACGTCCCCAAAAACCCGTTAAAACGGACCGTTTAAATGCATACCGTATAAGCCAATAATGATTATTACGTAAGAACAGTAAAACTAGACACTTTATGATAACTACTGTAAACACAAAACTCTAGAAAACATGTTGAGGCGGTAAATTTTAAATATTTAACAAACAAACAACCATTACAATTCATGATATGTGCAAGATGTATTATTTATTGCATTTCCTAGTGACCAACTTCCAAGAATCCAAGTCGTCAACAACATCTGTCCCTCTCCCCCTCTTTCCATTGTTTGTTTTGGCTTCCTCTCCCCCAACACTCGTGACTAGCAGTGTCCCTGTCATTGAACCCTCTCCCACTACAGTCTCGCCCATTCTACTGTACCCCATTGCCTTACGAAAATATGGTTTACGTTTTATTTAACACAACATGAAAACAAACATAAACACATTTGAGCCAATGCCTATACTGTAGATATATTAATGCAATACTGTACCGTACTGTATATTTATTTTACATAAATTATACTGTACTGTACTGTAAATAAAATTCAACCTTTGTACTGTTCACTTACCTTAGAAAATTATCCAAACTGTACAAAAACAAAACATATAAAACAGGCCACAATTAAACAAAACTCATTTTATTTATTATTGTATTAAACCACACAGCTTTATGTAATTACAACACACATTTTGCTATGAAACAACCTATAGTCTTATACAGGTGTACGTGTTTTGCTAACTTAAGATTTGATTTAGTTTTTGAAGTAATCGTCGATTTTCTTTTGTTTCTTAGTGTCCACGGCTCCTTTGAACGCTTAATCACGCCATTTCTTAATCAACATTATATCTGCCGGAGTAGATACATCCTGTTGTTCAATGTAAGATGTGATTAGTTCCAGTGCTGTTTTTGCTTCAGCGTGATTAACTCGTTCAATATTTTCCTCTTGAATATTTTCCTCTTCTTCTTCATTTACATCTTCCTCTGCATCAACAACCGCTTGTACTATTTCATCATCAGTAAAAAACTCATTTTCAAGTTTGTCATCGGCCGTAATCCATTCATTTAAGTCCTCAACAGTTAATGCATCGCAATGGGATACGGTTTTTAAACCATTTAGCATGTTGTCATCGTCGGGTTCAGGTTCATTCGGTTCTGTTGCAGTCTGGATGGCAGGGGCAGCTGGATTGTCGTCTTTATTGTTCTCGATCGCATCCATGACGTCTGGCTAGAGTTTTCTCCAGGACTTCATAAATGTCGAGCTTGGCATTTCTTCGTAAACCTTAGCCAACATGTAAATCACATCCTCGATATTTATGGTCTTCAAAGCAGTTATTAGTCCAGTGTCTCCATTTTCATCCAACTTTGAAAGTATTTCGGAAAGAAGTTTGTATCTGTAACGCTGCTTAAGACTTGCAATTACTCCTTGGTCCATTGGCTGTATTACACTTGTTGTATGGGCAGGTAAGTAGTAGAGCTTGATGTCTTCTGCTCCCTCACACTGTAGCTCTACCTCTGGATGTGTAGGGGCGTTGTCAAGTACAAGAACAGCCTTTATAGGCATTTTTAAACTTAAGAGGTGATTTTTAACACTAGGAACAAACTCAGACACAAACCACTCTTTGAATAAATAGGCATCCATCCATGCTGACTTTTGCGCACGGTAGTGTACAGGAAGAGACGCCGTGTTTATATTTTTAAATGCTCGTGGCTTCATGGCCTTTCCAATAACAAAAAGCGGAAGTTTGTGTGTTCCGGTTGCATTAACACAAACACCTACTGTCAGTCGCTCTTTATTTACTTTAAAGCCAGCAGCTGACTTTTCTTGGTTTCCCGCAAATGTTCTTTGTGGCAACATTTTAAAGTTCAGTCCGGTTTCATCCATGTTGTACACCTGCTCAGGATGTAACCCTTGCTTGGTTAGATATTCTTTAAATTTGATTGGACATTCACTTGATGCAATAGTGTCTGCTGACAGTTTTTCGCCGCATATACCTATGAAATGGATTCCGTGACGTTTCTTCCACCTCGTCAGCCACCCTTCACTAGCTACAAATTGGCCCCATTTTCAATTTTCGAATGAAGTAAATTTGCTTTCTCCTTAAGAATAGGTCCACTAGGTGGAGTACCCCTCCGACGTTCTTGTTGGAACCACAACGCATCGTCTACGAGCTCGTTAATTGGTTTTCTCAGTGTGCATCGTGAAGTCAGTGCTTTATTAGATTCCACTTGTGTAAAAAAATCTTGGAGCGATTTTCGGTTTTTTTGCCAGTCGTAAATTGTACTCTTCCCTACATTCAGTTCATTGCAAATTATTTTTACCGATTCTCCTTTATCTAGGCGTTCAATTGCATTAAGCTTTTGTTCAACTGTCACAACTTTACGCCTACGTTTGTCACTCATTCTCTTAAAGAAAACGCACTAAATATATGGATACAGTAATCACATTAAAACTACTAGCCTAGGTCCAAAAAAGAAAATGCACGCAGCAGTATACTGGACAATACTGTACACGGCAATATACTGTATTGTACTTCAACGATCGGTACAAACATTCACATCAACCACAATGATTTAGTGCAGGGTACTGTACACACCGTATGAACGCGACTAGCAATACATGTTTACACCACGGGATTCACTCAAACACTAACCCAAATATTTTACGTAATTTAGGAGAGCATTGTATTTAGACACGTGATCGCTGGTCTAATATCGATCCCACGAGAACAGTTGTTTCAGTGCCGCCCACTTCCTGCCGATCTAGTCCGGTTAAACCGATGTGCTGATAAAAATTTTCCGGTTAAAGAGATGTCGGTTCCGCCGAGTCCGGTTAAAAGGTGTCCGGATAAGAGGGAGTCTACTGTACATAAGAGTAAGGCAGGCGCTCCTATTTGTTGCGGCAAATCGTTGTTAAAAAGGATAAATAGTACCGGACCCATAACAGACCCTTGGGGAACTCCTCGATTTATTGGTTGAAAACTTGATCTGGATTTTCTTATTTGGCTGTTATCTCTGTGCCTTAGTTCTACAAACTGACTCCTGCCTGTGAGGTAGCTTTGAAACCATTCTCTTACTATCCCTGATACCCCAAGGAAATTCAGCTTTTTAATGATTAGCTGGTGGTCAAGGCAGTCAAATGCCTTACTGAAATCAAGAAAGATTCCTGTTGATAGATTTCGTTCATCTAGGCTGTCAATCAGGGACTCAACCATCTGAATTATTGCTGTTGTTGTGGATTTCCCTTTTGTAAATCCATGTTGCAGGTTGTTCAACAGGTTGTGATTTGTGCAGTGGTCTAAAAGTCTTTTTAAAACAACTTTTTCGTATATTGTGGAGAAGGTGGAAACGAGGGAAATTGGTCTGTAGTAAATTGGTAGGTAGAAATTGCTACCTTTTTTGAATTTTGGATATACTTTGGTTATTTTAAGTAGTGAAGGAAAGATGCCTGTTTTAGGGACTTATTTATCAAATCAGCCAAGGGTAGTGCTAGTTCATTGCAGCAATGCTTAAGTATTTTTGATGAGACTTCATCGATTCCAGACGAGTTTTTTGCTTTAAGTTTGTTTATAATCATTTTAACTTCCCTCTCGTCCGTCCTTTGAAAGGAGGAAAACGGTGGACCTGTTTGAGTTACGTGTGGGGTTTGAGCTGTGTTCTTCAGGTGTTTTTGTTTCTCTACTGTTTTTTCTGCTACCTGTGTAAAAAATGTATTCAAATTAATGCTCTGCAACATGGGTCACATTACTTATAAGTTTGCCATCAACTTGAAGGGTTATTTTATTTAGGGGTGTTTCCTTTTTGGACCACACTGTGGTTATTGTTTCCCAGATAGCTTTAGATTTATTTTCAGCTTTCATCAACTGGTCAGAATTAACCTTTTTCCGCATCGTTTTCAAGTACAGGTCATAGTTCTTTTTATTTTCAATTGAAACCCTTCTGTATGATAATTTTATGTTGGGCATCACTCACCTTATTGGAATCACGAGAACGCAGTCCTTGTCAAATCACAATCAACACAGTTCATTACACATAAAAATATACAAAAATAAAAATAAAACTAAATTTAAAATTTTAGACTTAAGTTCCCAACACCGACGTTTCGCCGCACCAAAATCAACGTGCGGCGTTTTCAAGGTTATTTCTCTTCTCACGGAATCGTTGTGAGCGCCTAACCACGACTGACGACCCCGGTGGTGGAGGAGGGGGAGGGGAGACTCTGTTATCTAGAACAGCTGATGGCATTATCTTCTTTTGTTTAGATTTTTCTATGCATCCTTTAATTTCTTTCTCTATTAGTGTATTGTAAACCGGGCTGATATCAATGGATGCGTTGGCTAATGAATCTTGATCTGAAGTAATAAACAAAGCCTCAATAATATTCCTTTTCTTCCAATTAGGCTCCTTGTATAATACACAGCTTTCCTCCCACTTTATACAATGCCCGGTGTCATGAACGTGTTCAGATATTTTTGAACCATAGGTTAAACTGAAGTATTGACCTGACCTAATATACCATGTCGTTTAGGAATGAAACCCTTCTGTCATCTGGATTTCCCGCCACCTCAAACTTTCTTAGAGCTTTAAGAAATTCGGCTTTAAGTCTCACTGCTTCTGGGTCCATAGAGAATTTTAGTTTATGTTTACTTTGTGTTTTTATCTTCTTTTGGGGGCAGGCCGCATCCATAGCTACTCTCACAATGTTACTAAAAGTTTTAAAAGCTTCTTGGGCATTGATTATTGAGGTAACACTAAGCCAGTTTTCTTGACTGAGAAGATACTTGAGGTCTTACAGGTTTTTATTTTTTAGGCAGCATCCAATTTGGGCTGGATAACTTGAGTTGATGTGTGAGTTGAAGTTTACAGTACAGAGTTGAGCAGTATGATCCGAAAGTCCTGCACTGATGACTTCTGTAGTGAGTTTGAAATAAGCCTAATTTGAAATATGCCTTTTTTAGGTGGTTTGTTAGGGAATGAACAGAACAATGTTAATGATTATATTTCATTCCAGGATACAGAGAAAAGGTCATGACGCCGGAAATGGCACTCAAGGCCCAGATTAAGTCTCAAAAACGTAAACAACAAGCAGATGAAAAAAGAGAAAAGGATAAGGTAAGTTACAGCAGTTGAAAATTGTCAAGTTTCATCTAAATTCAAAAGAAGATTTTCAGGCTTTATGGTATGATAGTAAACATATTGCAACCACCATATTTTAGATAAAATGACACCCTAACTTTTATTCTACGTGAAATTAAGCCTTCGGAAACACTGTTGCCCCAGACCCTTGCGTTTAAACAAAACGGCACGGGTAGAGCGGACCCTTAAGTCTTCACTTAATTTTGGAACCGTAAAAAATAATGCAATTTTTCTAAATAAATTTTGTTTCTGAAAAACCCTTAGTTAAGGTATAGTCATTACTATACCTTTCATGTATTCATATTTTATTTTTACTTTCTCCCCCTAGACATAGTATATGTAGAAAGTATTTTTTTCATCAACATGTTTGAGTTTTGAGTGGATATATCCGTTTTGGGTCCCTCTAAACCCAAAAAAGTGGTTTTCGAAGTGATGTCTGTGTGTGTGTGTGTGTGGAAGTGTACAGAGCTACAGACCACACTTGCTTGTAGTCCGATTTTGATCAAATTTGGTATGTAGGTACTAATCCATAGTATCTCCAGGCGTTTTCTAATAGTTTTTTTTTTATTTGTATTTATATATTAGCAATTCTCCCTTATAATCCTGTGAAATAAAGGAAAAATAAGATTTTCCAAAAAATGGTCGTACAATTTTGATAACAATTTAAGTATGTTATAGTCCTTTAAATTCCGAACAAAATAGTACAAATCCCATTTCCATATAAATGATGGTTCCAAAGTTATTGTAACTTATGTTATTTTCCCACAAAAACCCCATAAATAACAAAAAATTGGATTTTAGAAATAGAACGGTTTGGATTAAAATTAGTATGTTATGGTCCTTTAAATTTGGAAAAAAATGTACAAATCCCATTTCCAGAAAAATTGCGGTTCAAAAGTTAATGTAACTTATGTTATTTTCCCATAAAAACCCCCATTAAACAGAGAAAACCGGATTTTAAGGAAAAAGCCAATTTGAATAAAAATTAATGTGTTATGGTTCTTAAATAATTAAAAAAAAAATACCCCCGCTGCAGCAAACCTGCCGACTAAGCAAATTTCCATTTGTCTTAATTGATTTTCAATTAAATCTATATATAACATTAGGTTTAACGAGTACCTAAGTTTGCTGCTACAAGGAGACTAGTTAAGTGTGTTTTTTAGTGAAATATTAATAGTTTGGTATAAAATTTAAAAAAATTTCCAAGTTTGATCAAAATATATCCATAAACAAACAAACTACAACATTTTACAATATTCTCCATAAGAATAACATGGGAGTTTTAAATTTAAATTTTTTTTTATTTTTCTCCCTTACCAATAACTGTACAAAAACACTTTGATATACGGTACTAAATCATTTGTTTTTTAAGGTCTTTGAGAGAAATTTGTAAATTTTGTATTTTGAAGGTCAATAATGAGAATGCCCCCGCCGCCGCCGCAGCAAACCTGCAGACTAAGCGAATTTCAACTTGTCTGATCACATTTTTACTAAAATATTTCCATAAATAAGACGTCATATTTATTCCCAATTTAGAAATTTAACGAGTGCTTAGGTTTGCTGCTACGGGGAAGGTAAAAGTGTTTTTTGACCATACATCAATAGTATAGGATGAAATCAATAAATTTGCCAAATTTTAATAACACATATCCATAAACAAGTAAACTACAACAGTTTTCATATTCTCCATAAGAATAACAAAAGAATATTAAATTACACTTTTTTTGAATTTTCTCCGCGATCGTTAGGCATACAACAACGCTTCAATATACTAAATTATTCATTTTTTTAAGCTCTACGAAATGGTTTAAAAAGAAATTGCAACATTTTTTGTTTTTATGGTCAAAATTGAGAAAACCCCATAAAACCCCCCATAAACCCCTGTTACCTTAGTCCAATTATGCTGGTTCGCGAACTCGTTCGAATAAACGTAGTTTTACATGTTTGTACCAAATTTCATCAAAATTGGATCATTTCTGCTCGAGTTATCGCGCTAAGGGACACATATATATATATATGTATTATATTTGAGGTGTATATATAATATTTGATATTGTTCACGTGTAGGGCTACTGTAATATAATATTAATAAATAATACACCATAGTACCCTTTTTTAAAATTATTTTTAATGACCGATGCATTTTGACACTAAGTTATTTAAGTTATTTAGTTAAAATTTAAACATGTGAATGTATTTATTTTTTTTGTTTACATATTTAAATTTAATAACATTGTGAAAGACTGTGACCATGACCTTAGTGTTGAAATGCATCAGTCATTAAAAATAATTTGTAAAAAGGATACTATGGTGTATTATTTATTAATATATATGAATTTGAACGGATGGTGTTTTTGGCCTCTGGGGACCTCAAAACGAAAAAGAAAATCGGTCCCGGGTCTAGGTCTTACCATGAGACCTACGGTAATAGCTTATTCCCTATATGGGAAATTCGCTAAAAACCATTTTTTACCCCATAAAACCCGCCATAAAGTTTCAAGTTTATTCCACCTTACACCTTTAACCAAATTTCATCAAAATCGGACAAAATTTACTCAAGTTATCGCGTTCACGGACGTATATATATTTATATAAATTTGAACAAATAGTGTTTTTGGCCTCCGGGGACATCAAAATAAAAAAGTAAATCGATCCTGGGCCTAGGTCTTACTGTGCCACCTACGGTAATAGCTACTTCCCTTTAAGGAAATTCGCTAATAGGGCAACCCCCCGTTGCTGTAACAATTACGAATCAAAAGTTATAGCGAATTTTGTGATGTTTCCCTGTAAAATATCATAGTTACTCTACTCCCTAAGTAAGTTACTCCCTTGAGCACATAAAAGGCTTCTCAGATGTTTGTTTACGATCTTCATAATTTATTACTAGGGTAGTGATGCAATAAAAAAACCATTAGCAGTCCAAAATCCATTAATACAGTAGAACCTTGATAACAAGACACTCACGGGGATTATGTCTGGCTATCAAGGTTGACTTCTTATTGAGGTTTGAAATAACATCTGTTTAGAGGTCAAATAAATTCAAGGGGATTTGAAAAATACACTTGTTATCAAGAGTGAATTGTTTTTCAAGGGTCTTCTTATCAGTTTCCACTGTATTTTATCACAACAATAATTGTTGTACTCAAGTACTTCCAAGAACTCTTGAGTTTTATCATGTTTAATCCTTTAGGACTTTCATTCATTACTAGTGTAATAATTACTTTGATATCCCAATTTTATTTGATCATAAAAATAATAGTTTTTATAATGGCTGTTAAATTTCATCTCTAAATCTAGTCAGTATTTTTGTATTTTACAATACTAAAATTACTTTTTTCTGATAAAATAAAAATATTTACAAGACACTAACTACCATGAATTAGTTTCATTGAAAATAATCTGTTAGTAACAGTTTTATGCTTTTTAATAAAGAAATATATATTTTTGTCAGCTACTTCCTTGTTTCATTACACAATTTTGTTAGCAATTGAAGCAACCGGGTGTTGCAAGAGGGGAGGAGAAGGGTTTTGAGTGCCCCCTGCCTGGCTGGTGAGAGTGATTTATGGTTTGTAATTCATCCCGCTATCTGAGAAAAAGACCCTGCAGTTTCAAAACATTGACTTGTGTTGCTAATTAGGGCACTCAAGTGTCTCTGCATTATGTTGCCAAGTTGGCATTTAATTTTCTTTTCTCTTGATTTAATATAATCTTCTATACCTATATTAATTAGTTAGAAGTTCCTTTTAGGGTACCTAATTAGTTGTGAAATAAACAATATCTTGATCTGAGTTTATGGATTATTAATTCTTTTAATTTATTACTTATCAAAATCAGTAGTTTTAGATTTCAATCTTTTGCTGTAGGTCTAGCTATGCTACTGTATGACGTGATATGTAATGTAATTTTTACAGTCTCCTTACTAATTATACCATAAACAAACCATGTGTGTGTCAATTACTTTTTTAGAGTTTTATAGTTAATCAGTTTACACAACATCTTATCATCAATGAGTTCTCAACTTGTCATGTTGCTTAGCATATTACTATTTTAGGCCCTATAAAAAATCACTTTTATGTAAAGCTGTGGCACTAATGCCAATAATAGATAATGTATTAATGATGCTGTAACTAATAATGCTATTGCAAGTGTGAGGTTTTGTACTTAAGTGGTTAGTAGGGAGGGAATGAATGATACATATTGGATTGTGGAAACAGAATTTTTATTTTCTTCTTTCTTGCAGTTAAGGCAATTCCCAAGCTAATAATATACATAAATACAATTTTTTCCATATTTTATTATTAAGTAATATTATAAACACAAGTTCAAACAAACAAAAAATTCATTAATAAAAAATTTTTTGCTTGACCCAACCCGAACCAAAAAAAGTCTGACCCTCAGACCCCAATTATCAAGGCAAGTACTTAACTTAGTAGTAAAATAGGTGAAGCCTTTATCTTTACTTTGTTGATTTCCTGACACAATCCCGTTACAAGGGAAAGGTTTTAATAATCTGTGGGACAGTAATTAATTGTTGTTAGCAAACCATGAATGTAGGATACTATCCACTTCAGTAGTAATGTCAATGTATTACAATTTAAAATAATGGTTTCAATCTGAGGAGAAAACCGCAAAATTACTGGTAGCCGTGTACCGTACCGATTTTGTACCGAGAACCGAGGTACAAGATATTGTACCGTACCGACCTTAAATTTTCTGTACCGCAGACCCCTAGCTATAATATAACACCAATGAATACAAACCCTTTAAGAAGCAAAATGCTTATGGAGAATAGTCTGACTGGAATTTTGCCGCCGAAATGAGCTTCACGCGACCACGCTACTCTATCTCTTTCTCTCTCTAAGCCTATTCTTTGTCTCATTCTCTCTGACACAGTCAGTTGACTTGGCCGCACGCTCACAATAATCTACCTAGTGGCCCGCTCCAGGGACCATCCCAAATTCAAAATATATTTCCAG